AACAAGTATCATTTTAGAATTGGACAATAATTACTTTAACTCAACACAAATTATAAACTATTTCAACTTATTCGCATTTATTTTATTTAGTTAAATATACGATTAGAATTTTTTAAAAAGTTATTGATTAAATGCGTATGTTTTGTCGAGGTATTGGCACATTTTAACACTGCCCACTTTTTTATGTCTAAGGGCATATTTTTAGTGATACAGGAATAGGTACTTCTTTATTAAAAATAAGAAGAAAAAATAAAACTCATATGTCATTAATCATAAAACTAAGTGTAATGATTATTTTCTAATTTTAGCAAGGATGTACGGAGTATTCAGTAATACGAGAGCAATGAAGATATTTTGAGGAAACAAGAAGTTACTTAGAAAACTTATATAATATAAGGGTTTTATAAGAGTTATGTTGTAGGAAAAGTGATTGTGTAATGTTATAGAGATTCGTTTTGCGTGCTGTAATTTCTTTTTTTTTCTTTTTTCTTCAAAAAGTGTGGGCCCCACAAAATGTTGTGTGTGTAGGAAAGTTTGTTTTATCATATTAAATGACAAATGCAAACCCCATAATATAATTGTTTTAGATATATTATCCAACTTAGGCCCACTGAGCATTGGGCTCAACAATTAATGGGAAAACCTTTAGAGGCATTGATAGTGCTTAGAAACTGATATCTTTTTTAAATAATTAAACATTTGAAAAGGACAAATTTAAAATTTGATTCAGATCACCAAGCCACTTGCAATGGGCTAGAGTGAGAGAATTGATAGTTTGGATAAGGTTATAGCATGCTAACATTGTATAAAATTAAAAAGCACTTGATTCAGCATAAATCTTTTCGAAATAATGGCTGATATTTTAATTATAAATAATTTTTTTGTTTCAATTTATTTGCTAATCTTCCTTGAAGAAAATAATACCATCAGTCCATCCCATATGCATTATGTTAGTTTTAATGCTATTTTCAAAATTATTGTTGTATAAATTGTGTAAAATAGTAAATTTCAAAGTTATCTTTAAGAGCTTAAGTAAATTTAAGTGAATAGAAATCGATGGAGTTTTCAATATTTTCTTTTGAAAGCGTATTTACCTACTTTTATTATAGGGGGTAAGTTTGGCGAACCTTGTGAGTAACTTGTTAAGTTATACATTTTCTTTTCTTTTCTTTTTTGATAAATCACGGGAGACAATCTGTTCGAAACAGAAATATTCACATCATGGTTTGACTAGCTCTCAATTTATTTCTTCATTCACAAAGACTTGAAACTAACAATCATATACAAGTTAGTTAAAATCGATATTTTACGTAAAATTGAAAGGGGAATAAAAAATCATAAGACGTAAAATCGTCACAAAAAGATCGTAAAAACATAAAATCATGGTACTAAATCGAGAATTTAACTACCATGATTATATAGCAATTGAACCAACTCTTTTAATAACTAAGTTGGAACTCATACACTTTCTCGGTCCAAATAAAGGCGAATACTATAACCTGCCCTCAAATAATTGATATAATTAAAATTAAAATATATATATATATATATATATATATATATATATATATATATATATATATTTGACATGTTTATTAATGACATGTTTGGTGCACAATATAGGATAATACTTGATAATATAAAATCTGATAGTATAAGGCCTGATTGTATAAGATGTGATTAAATTTTAATATTATCAAGCGTTTGACATTGTATTATATAAGATAATGGATTATATAAGATAATATCATTCCGTGTTTGTTTATACATGGTATAATACTAGATAGAATAAAAAAAAATATTTTTAACAAAAATACTCTTCAATAAAGAATTTATATAATTCTTTCAAATATATCATGATATTAATTTTTATAAAAATATATTGATCAAGTGTCCAAAAAATATTATTTTTTATAAAAGTAAAAATTTCCAATATTTTAAAAATTAATATATTAAAAATTAATTTTTATTTTGATATATTAATGTTGAAATAATACATTAATTCTTGATAATTATACTAGTCAGTAATGTTAATATATCAATCCCTTTTTACCAAAATAAATAAATATATATATCAACCCCTTATCAGTCTAATTCCATCCTCTTAGACTTGATTAAGGGCAAAAAAATTAATTTTTTGTTTTTAATAAATTAATTATGCATTTATGACAATTTTGAAAATAATTACACATTTATTGCACAATACCACGCCCAATTTGGGCGTCACCAATCATGTCTAAATGAGCGTCACCACTCAAGAGGCAATCACGCCTAATTTTGACGTCACTCATCAGGTGTTGACACGTGTCACATTTTTTATTCCAAAAAAATAATTACAATTTAATCGTAAAACTTTTGAAGGCCATAACTTTTGACTTGGGTATCCAAATCAGGTAATTTTTGTTTTGATTCCACATAAATTTTCGAGATCTACGCAATGATATCTCATTTGACATATTTTATTTCTCACAAACAAAATTTAAATTTGCAAGAATGGTATTATAAGAGTACTTAAATCGAGAAGCCTGTGAGTTCTGGGTTTGTGATTTAATATAAAAAAATAAATAAAGATTTGATTTTTTATTTAAACTCAAAAATCAATTTGAAAAATCTTTATTAATAAAGAAAATAGTTAAATAAATATTCTAAATCTCTAAGAAAGAAGAATTTTATTTTTGAAATTAATGATTAATGCTATAAGCTTTCTGGGTTATTATTCGTGGTATGAAATCAATGATGGCTTATGAATATTTTTCAAAAATAGAATCCTTCTTCGTTAGAGATTTAGAATATTTATTTAAGTATTTCCTTTATTAATACATATTTTTCAATTTAATTTTTGAGTTTAAATCACAAATCAAATCTTTATTTTGTTTTCCTTTTTAATAATATTTTTTATTTTTAATTTAAATCACAAACCAAATCTTTATTTATATTTTTATATTAAATCACAAACCCAGAACTCAGAGGCTTCTGGGTTTAACCGCTCTTATAATACAATTCTTGCAAATTTAAATTGTGTTTGTGAGAAATAAAATATTTCAAATGAGATGTCATTGCTTAGATCTCAAAAAATTACGTGGAATCAAAAAGAATTACCTGATTTGGATACCCAAGTCAAAAGTTATGGCCTTAATAAGTTTTACGATTAAATTGTTAAATTTTATTTTGAAAAAAAAAATGACACGTGTCAACACCTAATGAGTGACGCCTAAATTAGGCGTGATTGCCCTCTCGAGTGACGCCCAATTTAGGCATGATTAATGACGCCCAAATTGGACGTGATATTGTGCAAAAAATGTGTAATTATTTTCAAAACTGCCATAAATTCATAATTTTTTATTTAAAAAACAATAAATTAATTTTTTTGCCCTTGATTAAGTTATACATCATTTTGATGTATTAAGGAGTTATGCTGTATAATATTATACTATATTCATACCAAACAACTTAAAATATCGTAACATATCATATAAGCTTATACTATCAGGTCTTATATATCACACCAAACAAGCCCTTACTGTAAATCAATTCCTTAAGAGTTATTTACCCCAATATCTGGTCTTCAGATTGGAACAATTACATTTGATTCAAAATTTGAAGACAAATTGGACAAATTATAAACTTACATATGACTGGAGGCATATTGGAGGTTATTTGAATTTTGAATTTTGAATTTAAATGTAATAGGAGTTGTTTGCGAGCTGATTGTGTTTTGTATTTAATAGGAGTTGATTGCATTTGATTAGGAGTTGCCATTTTACAAGTTGGTTACAGATTGTCACCAATTATTGGAGGTTATTTGAATTTTGAATTTAAATATAATAGGAGTTGATTGCGAGCTGATTGTGTGTTATATTTAATAGGAGCTGATTGTATTTGATTAGGAGTTGCCATTTTACGAGTTGGTTACAGATTGTCAAAATTCAAAATTCAAATAACCTCCAATAAGGCAGCACTGCGAAAACTATGGAGTTGTCACATTAATACGATGTTTTTTTTTTTTTGATAACATTAATACGATGTTTAAATAATGGATAGTGAACCCATTGAAAAGGAAAGGAAATAATGGCAAACAAATTTTTTTATTTAGTAATATAAAAATAAATAAGAAGTGAAAGAAATTTAAAGAGATCAATTCTTCTTAAATAAATAAACTTTATTTCCTTTAAAATTGAAGTAGAAAAGAGGAGATAAAATATATATTACAACAGAGAAATATTTCTGCAGTTACTGCAGATAAGTTATCTGTATTTACTCTCAAAACGATGTTATTTTGGGATTGAAAGATTAAAAAATTATAATTATAAAGACTATAATAACTCTGAAATAAATTAAAATTACAAAAATACCATGATTTCTGTCCCAAAATGACGTTGTGCTTCCCAAAATTAAAGGATAACCAAAAGAAATATAACAAAGATAAAAAAGAAAATTATGATAAGATGAGAGTAGTATCTCTATTAAATTATATATTCAAGCTTTGTATATTAATTCTATTTATAGTTTTTCAGCGATCATGAATTAAATAATAAAATTTAATCATTCTAATTACACAAAATTAGAAGTTACACATTTTGGTACCTTTTTATGGATTACGGATATTGTATTAATAATATTTGTAACGTTATTTCATTTTCTTATTAATTTTTTTAAGGGAAAATTATTTGTCCTTTTAAATTGATTATAATTTAAAATTTCAATCTTTTTCTAATTGATTACAATTCTAATTACACAAAATTAGAATTTACACATTTTGGTACCTTTTTATGGATTGCGGATATTGTATTAATAATATTGTATTATCAGCATTTCAATCTTTTCTTTGTTTTGAAAACTAAAAACTGAATGACATCATTACAATTTCCCCTTATACACACCAATTGACCACAATTTACATTTTAGGAATTAAAATAAAAAAGGAAACAAAAAAATAGAAAATCTCAGACAAGATTCTTAAAAAAAATATGTTCATCGAAATTAATACACCCGGAAAAAGAGGCACACACGCTATCACAGACTTGTTAGCTTTAGCCCAAAAGAAAAAGATTTGGCGTGTTTTTGTTTTGATAGCCTTCATTAAGATCCTGTTTGACAGGAACAACAAAGCACACAGTCACACTGACACCGTTGATTCATAAAAAAACTAGAGTTCAAAAAAAATCAAATCAAATCAAATCAGAATGTTAGCGATCAAGAGCAACTGTTGTTCTTGGTTTATTATTTTTGTTTTTCGATTATTAATATTCAAACAATTCAAGAGCAATCTTGAATCTTTTCAAATCCTTATAGATTTTTTTTATTTTTATCAAGATAGATTCAAAATTTGTTCAAGATCGAATCCTTATGCCTTCTCATTACGGCTTTTTGGTTCAAGAGAGAGAGGTATAAAGATAGAGTCCAATTTGATTCTTTGGCGAAATCCTAATTTCTTCTTCTTCCTCTCTAGCGGGTTCTGCGATTTTTAGGGTTTGTGAAGCAAAGAGAAAAGTTTCGATCTTTGATTGGTTTTCGTCGATGGAGGGCGAGGCCGGTTCGGAGGGACACAATAGGGGTGGCGCAGATGATAACAGCAACGACAATAATGGAAGCAATAGCAAGATTGCGAATTCCAATGAGGGGCAGAGCAAGCCCAAGCGCCAGATGAAGACCCCCTTTCAGCTTCAAAATCTCGAGAAAGCTTATGCTTGTTCGTCCCTTATGCTTACTCCTTCGTTCTTCAATTTCACAATTCTCAATTTTTTGTGTGTTTATTTGTTGGTTTTTTATTTGCAGTAATTTTTTTTTAATTGGAAGAATTTTTGTTTCTTTTTGGTTAATTTTGTGATTTTGTTTGGTTAGTGGATACTTATCCTTCGGAGGCGATGAGATTAGAGTTGTCGGAAAAGTTGGGGTTGTCGGATCGGCAACTGCAGACGTGGTTCTGTCATAGGAGGTTGAAGGACAAGAAGGACTTGCCTCCCAGGAAACGGCCGCGGAAGGTGGCAGCAGAGCCTTTGCCAGATTCCGACTTGCCTCCCAAGAAACGGCCGCGGAAGGTGGCAGCAGAGCTTTTGCCAGATTCCCCCACAGATGACATGAGGTTGGACCCTGAACTTGGCAATGAGTATGGATCCGGGTCGGGTTCGGGGTCCAGCCCGCTTACCCGTTCTGAGTCCCGGAATGCGATGCCCCAGGGCTTGCCGGGTTATTATGAGTCCCCTCAGGCTGGAATGGAGAGTAGAGCAATTGCTTCTGTGGAGGCACAGTTAGGGGAGCCGTTGAGGGAAGATGGACCCATTCTAGGAGTAGAGTTTGACCCATTGCCACCAGATGCATTTGGGGCACCCATAGGTATAATCATAGAACTTGTGTTCCTATTATCTTCACTTATTGGGTTAACTGATTGTTGCAGTTTCTTTAATATGTTTTGTTGTACATTTTGTAACTCCTAAATTACCTTGGCATGCCTGAATTGTTTATCTTCCTTGCAATTTTCATCTACTCAGGCATCATGAAAATGTTATTGTCTGTAGTGGCTCTATCTGGCATAGATATGTTTTCTATTTCATTTGGATAAATTTTCTTTTGTGGCTCTCCTGTCCATCTCTAGGGCTCTGCTTCTTTGTGATTAAAAGAAGTTGCTAGAAACAATACTACTATGGTATTTGTTGTTTGTGTCTTTTTGATGGCTGCATGCACCATTGTTTGGCTACTGACACTTCTGGCATGTGATTTTTGGTGCAGCAGTTACAGAACAGCGGAAGCGACCTAGTCTTGCCTATGACAGTAAAATATATGATAGGCATGATATGAGAGCAAATAAGGTTGGTTTTCACATCAAGTATCTTGGTCAATAAAATGAACCTAGTCTTGAGCTGCATGTGCAACATATCTTTATTGGTAACTAGTTGGACATAGCTATGATGATGGAGTAGCTTTTTTACATGCTTGTTCTTCATGTCAGTGTACGAATGTGTATTCCTTGAGTTCTTATGCTATTTGGTGCTTTGGGCTTTTACCTCTTTCTAAATGACCTACTAGTAGTACCAGCTTGAAACAAGATACACGAACTTCTTTTTAATTGTTTATATATATGGACTTTTTTTCTTAAACATTTTTATTTAGATGCTAATCTTGTACAAGGAAAATGGAAAAAGGAAAACGGTGGGTAAGGCTGGCGGAGGTCATTTTAGATTTAGGTGTTAGCTTGCTAAGTTAGTATATCTGTGATATTGATTTTTTAAAGTGTCTTTTTCCCTGTCTTGACATGCAGATTATCTTTTTAAATGCTCTTTCGGTACAAATAATCTTCCATTTATATTTTCTTCAACAGTTTGAGGAACTGGAAAGCCTGCAGTTATTATTTGTTTAATTTTTTTTATATTCTGTTGCTATATATTTTTTACTGCTTAGTTGCTTTATATGAGAGTTTGATTTGAAATGAGCTCCATTCTAGGCTTTGGCAAGGACATTCCATGAATATCAATTTCTACCAAACCAGTCTGGCATTAGGACTGATGCTTTTGGACAGTTCAGCCAACCTCATTTACATGATCCAATGGAGGGTCCTGCCAGAAACCCTCCTTTTGTTCTTGGAAATGAACAGCCACCTAGAATTCATGCTACCAAAGGTCATTCTTCTCGTTCACAACAAGACAAGCAAGGGATTCCCTATCAGTCTCCTCCTGGAGATAAAGATGATGCCCCCCAAACGGAATTATACACAAACATAGCTAATATCGGAATGAACTCTCACTTTACTGATCACCAAATTGTTGGGCCAGAAAGTCCCTCTGCTTTACCTAGTGGACAAGTTTTGCCTAACAATATGCGGATCGAGAAGAAACGAAAGGTATCTTTTAGCTATCTGGAGTAATTAATGTTGTAATTTTTCTCAGTGTTAACTCTTGGATGTATTTAATATATTCTTTGCGGTGGATGATTTTATAATTTTAACTATATTTATATAGAGTGATGATGCCAGAATTACAAGGGAAGTTGAAGCCCATGAGATGAAGATCCGAAAAGAGCATGAGAAACAAGATAACCTTAGACGAAAGGTTTTATTGAAATCAATTTAGTTTAGCCTGCTATCACATTTTTTATAGAGGTTAAAATGAATCACATTGACATTTTTTTTTAATTAATCCCTCCTTTCCCTCTCTTTTTTAGAGTGAAGAGCGAATGAAGAAAGAGATGGAGAGACAAGATCGTGAAAGGAGGAAGGAAGAAGAGAGGTTGATGCGTGAGAGACAACGTGAAGAGGAAAGAACAAAACGTGAGCAAAAACGTGAAATTGAACGAAGGGAAAAGCATTTGCTGAAGGAAAATTTAAGAGTAAGTTTGTAAGCCTAATGATGATAGCCTTCTTTTGGCTAATATTTAGACATCTGATGATTTTTTTTTCTTTTGGTATATTGAGGGTATTTAATGTATTTGCCACATATTCTATCTTAAAAAGGCTGAGAAATTGAGGCAAAAAGAAGAGCTTCGCAAAGAAAAAGAGGCAGAGAGAAGGAAAGCTGCCCTTGAGAAGGCAACTGCCCGTAGAATGGCTAAGGAATCTATGGAACTTATTGAGGATGAACAGCTGGAATTGATGGAGTTGGCTGCCTCAAGCAAGGGGTTTTCCTCTATTATACGTCTTGATTTTGATACTTTGCAAAACCTTGAATCATATAAGGGTGAGCAATTTATTTTTATTTCGCTTTCTATAATTTTACATAATTGGTTTCTTTGGGTATTCGGTGTTTATATGGAAATGCTGAAAAGGGAATTAGTTTCTAGCACTGAAACCTTATCATTGTATTGTAGATTCATTGTGTGTTCTCCCACCCAAGAGTGTAAAGCTAAGAAAACCATTTGCTATACAACCCTGGATCAACTCTGAAGAGAATGTTGGTAACCTGCTCATGGTATGTTCTCATCATTACTTTTGCTTCTTTATAAAATACATAGCATATAAAATCCTTTTGTTACCATGCATCATGTCCTCTGCTCTGGTCCTGTCAGAACTTTTTTTGGGGGGTTGGTGGACTTGTTTAAGGTATCTGACAGTCGTCTAACTTTACAGTTCTTTATGATTTGAAATAGGTGTATGCTTGTATGAGAAGTTAAGGTTGTCTAAGTTTGGTAAACATGGGTCTTTCCTTAGTTTGATATTTTATCTAGTCATGATATTGCATTAAAAAATGTTTTTTAGTGTGTGGGGCTTGTTTGTTGAATCAGCACTTCTGTGGATGTACTAATTTCCTGTCTGCATATTGCTTTATCAGTTTTATTCTTAGTTTAGCTAATTGCTTGAAACAAGGCTTCTGAATTTAAAATTTGAGAGCTGTGGTGGTCTATTTCAGGTTTGGAGATTTTTGATTACTTTTGCTGATGTTCTGGAGTTATGGCCTTTTACTCTCGATGAGTTTATGCAAGCATTTCACGACAATGTGCGTTGGTCTGGCCTTTGCTAGTGATTTCATGCTATCAGTTTAGCTATTTTCTTACATTCTTTTTGCTCACTTTTATCTTAGGATTCAAGACTGTTGGGTGAGATACATGTTGCTCTTCTTAAAGTGATAATAAAAGACATTGAGGATGTTGCAAGGACACCTTCTACAGGATTAGGAATGAATCAGAATGGTGCTGTTAATTCTGGAGGTGGCCATCCAGAGATTGTGGAAGGGGTAAGTTCAGATATTTCTAATATTTTCTGTCCTTTTTTCAGAGAAATAACAGAGTCCAGTCCTGTAATATTGTCTTTTTTATGTTAGGCATATGCATGGGGGTTTGACATACGAAATTGGCATAAGCACTTAAATCAGTTGACATGGCCGGAAATCTTCCGACAGCTAGCATTATCTGCAGGATATGGACCACAGTTGAAGAAAAGAAGTGTTACATGGTCCTATGAAAAAGATAAAGACGAGGTTCAATTTTCTTTATTTTGCTTTATTATTTTCAGCTGCCGCTTTAAAGATTCTTGTGTTTCATGGTTACCTCCATATTTTAGTGATTTAAGAAAGAGAAATACAATTAAGATATAACTTCAGTTTGCTGGTTTCTTTTAAGCTTTTAAGTTTAACTTGATCCTTTGTATAGTTTTTGTTACTATCAAATGTTTTGCTGACAATTTTTTGTTTTTCATGCATTTTAATCAACAATTAAATGTTTTTTTGGTGTTAAGGTCATTGCATTGAATAAGTGGATCAAAATGTATATCTAATTGCAGGGCAGAAGTTGCGAAGATATCATTTCTACACTTCGTAATGGTTCAGCAGCCGAAAATGCAGTTGCAAAAATGCAGGAGAAAGGGCTATTAGCACCTCGAAGATCTAGGCATAGGTTAACTCCTGGAACAGTTAAGTTTGCAGCATTTCATGTTCTCTCGCTTGAGGGTAGCAAGGGATTGACAGTACTAGAGCTCGCAGAAAAAATTCAGGTGAGTTGCATATCCATTTTAAGTGCTCTTTCGTACTGTCAGGTTTTTTTTTCTTATCTTATGTCTCTTTACCTGTTAGAAATCTGGTCTTCGGGACCTGACAACCAGCAAGACACCTGAGGCATCCATTTCTGTTGCTTTGACAAGAGATGCCAAGCTTTTTGAAAGAATAGCTCCATCAACGTATCGTGTTCGTTCTGCATTTAGAAAAGATCCTGCTGATGCTGAGTCCATTCTGTCTGAAGCAAGAAAGAAAATTCAGATATTTGAAAATGGGTTTCAAGCTGGGGAAGATGCTGATGATGTTGCAAGAGAAGAAGAGTCTGAAAGTGACGAAGTTGATGAGGATCCTGAAGTTGATGACTTGGTAAATCCTTCAATTGCAAAAAAAACATCTGAACTGTGTGATGATTTATCATCAAATGGAAAAGAAAATTTGGTTAATGATGTAGAACTTCAAGATGAGTTTGATAAGGATATGCCTTGTTTTCCTGAGAATGGTTCAAAGAATACCGATTGTGCAAGTACTGCCACTGGACAACCTGTTGCTTGTGAAGATCTGAATGCTGGAAATCTTGGTGAAGATAATACGGAAATTGATGAAAGCAAGTCTGGAGAATCATGGGTTAAAGGGCTTGCAGAAGGAGAATATTCTGATCTCAGTGTAGAGGAGCGTCTAAATGCTCTTGTTGTGTTGGTTGGTGTGGCAAACGAAGGAAATTCAATCCGTGTTGTTCTTGAGGTAAAATTTATTTCATGTATGTCATCAAGTTGATTTTTGTATCTAGTTTATCAAATTGACTTGAAGAAATTTTTCAGGATCGTTTGGAAGCATCAAATGCACTGAAGAAGCAAATGTGGGCAGAAGCACAGACAGACAAAGTTCGTCTGAAAGATGATATTTTTAATAAATTAGATTTTGCATCTATGGGTGGCAATAAAGTTGAAACACAAGACACATGTCCTATTGTGGAGGGCCACCAAAGTCCATTGCTTGACATTAATATTGACGCTGATAATAATGAGGCATCACCCAGCACTGCAGAAAATCAAAAAGCAGCTCCTGTTGCACAGAGCCTGTCTGTTGAAAGGCCCTCTTCAGTTCAAGATCTCTGTACAGGTCCAGATAACCCTCAGGCTCAGCTATCTGCACAATATTCAAAAAGGTCACGATCCCAGTTGAAATCTTATATTTCCCACATAGCGGAGGAGACGTTTGTCTACAGATCCTTACCCCTTGGCCAAGATCGCCGACGTAATCGATATTGGCAATTTGTTGCATCTGCTTCTTGCAATGATCCTGGCTCTGGCAGGATCTTTGTTGAATATCATGATGGAAATTGGAGGCTTATTGATTCTGAAGAGGTAAAAATTTTGTTTGGTGTAGTTTATTTTTTTTCCTTCCCCCATAGACTGATCCTTGTTTTGCTGATCAACTCATTTCTAACTTTAGCAGACGTCAAACACATTCCTCTTTTGTTTCGGTTTTGTGTTTTCCATCAATATCTACCCACTTAGCAAATGCCATTAAGAAGGATAACCTTAAAAATGTGTTAGAATATCTAGAAAATATCTCATAATATCTTTATTATATCAGAACATTTGAGGGTATCTTAAATGATATTTAGGAGTGGTTTTCAGATTTTATTATATTTTCTTCCTTATTCAGGATTAGGAATCTTTTACTAATTTACTAGCATAAATATGATTTAGTGCTTTGTATTTTGTATCGCATTTAATCAATATCAATTTTAGATTATTCATTAGTTTCTTCTTTTCTATCTTTACAAGCCACCATGGGTGTTCATTTTGAATTCTAATGTCTTGCAAAACTCCATGCACTAGATGTCCAGTCCTGAGGGTGAGGAATGCGTGTTTAGATGAAAAATTAGATCCCACATTGACTGACCCCTTATATTATAATGACTCGGGCAATCCTTCCCACCTTGAGCTAGCTTTTGGGGTTGACTTAGGCCCAATCTGTTCTCAATTCTAATAATATGAATACCTTCCCCACCCTTTTATTCTCAGCAAATTCTTTTGTATGCCTCTTCCAAAGTTTCATTTTTTTTTTCTTATTTTATGGGCTAGCCAAATATGGTAATATTATTGAATCTGTTTATCTTTTTATCTTTGGGTGCCAATATTTTGTGAATTTTAATGTAGCTTTATGCTTCGTCTTAATTGGTATAATAAATTTTTTTTAACCAATCCTATAACAGGCCTTCAATGCACTTTTGAATTCACTGGATTCACGTGGGATGAGGGAATCTCATTTGCGTTTGATGTTGCTGAAGATTGAAAATCCGTTTAAGGAAAATGTTCGAAAGAACACACTTAGCAACAAAATTGGAAGCAGAGATGAAGCTGATGAAACTGATTCCAGTCCTGATCTCCAGACTGGAACTGACACTCCTAGCAGTACTCTTTGTGGCTTGAACTCTGATGTTTCAGAAACTTCATCATCCTTCAAAATTGAGCTCGGGAAAAGTGAGAGCGAGAAGAAAGCTGCCTTGAGAAGGTATCAAGATTTCCAAAAATGGATGTGGAAAGAATGCTACTGCTCATCAATATTATGTGCAATGAAACATGGGAGAAAGAGAGGCAGCCCTCAGGTTGACATCTGTGATATCTGTCTCAACCCTTATTTCTTTGAAGACTCTCATTGCAATTGTTGCCACCGCACTTTTCCCTCAAATAATGGATTTAATTTTTCTAAACATGCATTTCAATGTGGAGACAAGTTATCCAAAGATATTAGTAATTTAGATTCTTCTCTTCCCTTGCGGACAAGATTGTTTAAGGCTCTTCTTGCTTTTATTGAGGTGAGTTAATAGCCTTGGTTTTTTCTACTAAATTTTAAAATGTTACCTTGTGAGGGATGTTATATTCACATTCTGATGTACAGGCATTTGTTCCACCTGAAGCATTTCAATCAATTTGGAAAGAAGATATTAGGAGGCATTGGGGTCTGAAGTTAAGCAAATCATCTTCTGCTGATGAACTTCTACAGGTTTGCCATTTCAATTAAAATTTTATCTTCCATACCCTTGCAACATTTTAAAAATTGAGAATCAATGTCTGCTCAAACATTTCTAAATTTAGCAATCCGTTTTGCAGATATTGACCCTACTTGAGAGAGCATTAAAGCGAGATTTTTTATCATCAACCTTCACTACAACAGAGGAACTGTTGCGGTCGAGCAGTATGTCAGAGAGTGCTGCACATACTTCTACTAATCCTGAATCAGTTGCTACACTTCCATGGGTTCCACAGACTACTGCAGCTGTGTTTCTTAGACTTTTTGAGTTGGATGGATCCATAATCTATGTACCGCGTGAGAAAACTGAGCTTCGTGAGGAGAAAGACTCTAGGGAGTGCATAGTAAGTCTCTTTCATTTTTCCTTGATTTTTATTGGACTGCTTTTGCTCATAAACTTCTACAATGTATGGTATCACCATGAAAGGTTTGCTATGAAAATATGTATAAGTTGGGCTGACATTTTATATTTTTATCTGAAAATAATGAAGCTGAACTATTATGTATCCAAGCCATTCACCAAGCTGATTGGATGTCAAGTTTCTCTTTGTACAAGTCCCTTTTATTATATATGGGGGACAGTGTGTGGCTGGAAATTTTTCATGCTAATCTAAAGAAAATTAGTCATCTAACTTGCTTTGCTTTCCTGCAGAAGCTTCCTTCAAGATATAATCCCTCCAAATCTAGTAAAGTGGTTGAACCAGAACCAGCAGATTCGGACCATGATGATTTCATGAAAGTTAAATCTGCTCCTATGAAAATTGCACGGAGCAGCAATAAACGTGGACGAGGGAGTCATGATAAAGGACGGGGTAAAAAGCTATCTAAAAGAATGAGGGATTCTAAACGAGATACCAGCCGCAATGTTAAGGTCACTGAGAATCTAAGTCAGAGAATTAAACAGCAGGGACGAGGATCACAAGGACAAGCTGGTGGACGTGGTCGCCGGACAGTGAGGAAAAGGAGAGTGGAAAAAAGGGCTGTTGAAGATTTGTTGCTGGGCCATGGGGCTGCCTCTCATAGCTCCAGTATCGGTAGGGAACCATTGAGAAGCTTGGATGAGGATTGGGATGATAGAAAGGCAAGTCCCATGACTCCCATCCACATGGGGGCTGCCGACATCAGTAACAGTGCTGAAGAGGCTGAATCTGGTGATAATGCTCAAGCAGTGGAATCTGGTGATAATGCTCAAGCAGTGGAATCTGGTGATAATGCTCAAGCAGTGGAATCTGATGACAATGATGAAGCAGTGGAATATGATCAAGGAAACTGGGAGATTGGTTTTAGCGGTACCCCCAACAGATGGAGTAGGCATTTGGTTAATATGAGTGATGAAGATGTGGAAGCTTCTGAAGATGACAATGACAATGGCATTGAAGAGGAGGATTCAGAGGCAGATGTTATGAGCGAGGGTTCAGATGGTATGGCTAATGGAGTTGTAAATGGAGCAGGCTCAGACTCGGCTGATTCTGAAGATTAGAACATAGTTTTTTAGCTGATCAACTAAAAGGATTGCATTTCAAAGCTGCATTACATTTTTGATATTGCAGCTTTACAAAGTACCTGAACTCCTAGTCAGTCATGTCATGGCTTGAAGAGTTTTATGGTTGAGAAGACTTACATAGTATATTTTATCCATGCAGAGTGGATCCTTGTATTTTTAAGCATTTTGAAGCCGAGGGCCTTTAAAGCCAGCCTCATTTCATTTTGTTTTTTATCCTTATAATAGGTATTCATTAATTAATATAGTCTTATACCTTAATTATCACTTCATTGCGCACAAAGTTGATTACTCATATAATTGTCTATTTGATTTTCCTTAATTTACAATTTAACAATTCTGCATAGCTCTTTTAATTAAAGGCTTGGTTGTGAGATATTCTTTCTTTAGTTATTTGATGTTGTTTATCTTTCCCATTTAGATAGGTGACATTGTGACTTAGCTGTGGATTCAAGTCCAGCATCTTGAGCAGATTCTTCACATAATTTATGCGCGTGTTTGTGCATGTGCAAAGATGAGGACATTAAAGGTTCCAAGGCAATTGGCCTTTAGAAGAAGCACATTGTTTGAAGTTCATTTTAAATGTTTCAAAAATATAGTTTAAGTTCTTCAGTCTAATTTGTTGATGTAAAGACCCACTCAGGGGGCGTTTGGTAGAGGAGTTTTTTTTTTATCCGGGAATCATGATTTTCTGGAATATAGTTGGAAAACAACTTTTTCGAAAATGTTAGCAAAAAAGTGTTTGGTAGACAGAAATATTAGTGGGAATATTTATTGAATTTTCATATTGCTATGTTTGATTGATAGTAAAATTTTGATGAAATTTTGGGTAAAATTTACAAATGTACCCTCATTTTTAAATATTAATCTGCAAAGCAAGTACAACTCACAGGTTATTTTCGTCTTTGGATTCAATGTTACTTTTTGGTTTCCTTGGAAAACACATAATTCCATATAATATGTGGAATTTTTTTGTTGGGATCTTGAAATTTTTTTCGTTACTTTTGAAATCCTAACATTTCAACTTTCCAGTAATTATATCACACTTTTAGTTTACCAAACGTTGTATTTCACTTTTCCGAACCTAATAATCCAAGGAAACCATGGAGAATCTGCCTAACAAACAGAACCTTAATGTAATCTGAAATGGCATCAACTGCACTTGTCCAGATAGATATTTCTTTTTACAAAAAAATAAAAGAAAAATATTTCTGCAATTATTGCAGATAATAAGTTATATGCAGTAACCGCAGAAAAAACGAACCATTCTTTTTAAAAGATATTAGAGAAACTGCGGAGGCTACGTTGCTTAGTAATTGCAATATAGTGAAATGATCTATTATTTGCATAAGTGAGGGCATTCATTTGTGTCATGAATCATAAATTTTCACATCTCCATTAATATCTTTCTTTCACTTCTTGGTTTGGTAGATATATGTGAAAGAAAATCTCACTTTACCGATGTATGAGAATCTGAAGCAATTTCTCTCGAAAATTAACAAATCATTATAGGGCACATGATTTCCCACGTTCCTCGTATTCCTAACTGGGTGCACTGTGTTGAAGATATTCCACCTCTGTAGATCATATAATTCAAAAGTTTTCATTTTGTCTAATTTTTCATCATAACTTTTCTAGATATGGTGTTTATAGAATGTTGCAATTTTGGGGATAAAATGCAAGACTTTATATTGCTCAGCATTGCTAGTCATTTCTTTTTAAGGATCCTTAGATTTAAGCACTAACAGTTTTTTTTTTTTTTTTAAATCAATGATACTTGTATCTTCAAAATTTCATCAAAATGCTGACAATGGTTCGATTCCTGGCCGTATGTATGTATGTAAAATATTTTGTTGATAAAGACAAAACCCACTTCGATGATCTTTACACCTCGCGAAGATTAGTTTTCCACTATCGACTATCGACTATCGACTGAGAAATGCCCTTTGATTTTACTGAAAAAAGATTTGATGTAGAGCAAAGAATTGAATGCATTTTGTGCGAATGATGAATTAGTTTTGTTCCTGGTAAGATTTCAATTTGTTATTTGTCCAATTTAAAGTCTTGGATGCTTGATTTGAAGACGTTAACAAATCTTTATAACTGGTTATATCATCCTTTGATGAAACAGACATCTTTTCAGGCTTCTGTTATAGTTACCTTTCCAGTATTGAGTGCCTGGATGTTACTCTAATCATGATTATTGCTCAGCAGACGATATTTCTTTCTTTGTTTTCCCCAAAGGGGAATGTCCTCCAAAGTGATTTATATTTTATATGTTGTCAAATTTTTATTTATTTTTATTTTTTGAGTCGTGCTTGGCGAACACAAGATTTGTTTCTCCGTAATTTTGAGTTTTGAATGCAGGCTTATGTTGCCTCTTTTACTGGTCAACTTTTATTTTTTCGATAGAATTCATTCAAAATTTGCTAAGATTTAAATCTAATGATTATATAAAGTTATGGCTATGCAAGAGGTTTTTTTATTTTTTATTTTTTTTGGTTTCTTAAAGTACCTCCTTACGAGCGACTAATTTTTATATATATGAATCGTAACATAGAACTCAAGATTACTTGCATAGAAAATCCAAGTCTCTTATACTCAAATTAATATTTATCTATCTAAAATGAATAATAATGTTAACTGTTAACTCATTCTATCAAACATTTTGGAAAAAGAATTGTAGCTGTAATAATGTTTTCAAATTAAATTACATGCAAATACCTTAGGCTTTGTAATTTTTATTTTTATTTTTATAAAAAAATGTATCCTTCCATACGGACCATGCCCCTGGAATTAAATGGAAAGTGGATGCTTCCTTCCTCTTTGACTTCGCTTTTTCTTCACTCCCTTTCCCTCCTTGACATTCTTTTACTATTATTATTGTTATTATTTTAATTTATTTCTTTTGAAAACAGAGTAGGAAATAGGAAGTAATCAAAGTTCCGCCAATTGCGGTATCAACTTCACTCCATCCAAGAAGAACAAAGGTTAAAGGGAAAAAGAAAAAAAGAGAGAGGAAAAGAGATAGGGTATGCTTTCAACTTTCAAGTGAAGTATCCACATCAAAGCATACATGACTACAAAAGACAACATTACTCGTATAAAAATTAAAATACACAGCTTCAGCGAAATTTAAAACCTTGTTGCTCGATTTTGTGCAGATTTATTGCAGTCATTTGATGTGTCATTTCTTTCTCCTTTATCTTTATTTCTATTTGATATGAAAAATGTTAGCCGAGTTGGTACAACGTCCTTACTGATGTGATTTAGAAATTAAAAAATAAAAATTTTTGTTTTGATGTAAATTTGAAACATTTTACTGTTGTGGTGCAATGGAATTCGCTAGCCTAGCAAGCAAGTGGCGTAATAATGTTTTTTCCCCCACCCGCAACGGGTGGCAATTTTAAATACAATACATCAACGACAAAAAATTAATATAATGTTTTTTAATTAAAAAAGGGAAATCAACTTGTCATGTTGTAGGAAAATTACTGTTCATACCTGCAGGGACATCGAAAATGGAGATTGTGTTTATTTATTTTTTTGATTTAATGTTTTAGTGGGTCCCACCATGGTTTTCTATCTGCAGGTATGAATAGTAATTTTCCTGCAACATGACAAGTTGATTTCCCATTAAAAAATTACGTATTTATTACAGTTTTGAAAAAAAAATTACGAATTTATTGCACAATGTTACGTCCTTTTGGGCGTCACATGTCACGTCCAAAGAGGGCGTCACGTTCTGGTGAGTCACGCCCAAACCAGGCGTGAGATGTGACGCCTAAAAGGGGCGTCACCCACCCACCCTATAAAAACTTCCCATTTTTGCATTTTTACCATTTCACTCTCACTCTAACCTCTCTCTAACCAAGTTGTGCTCTCAACCGTCCGTAGAATTTTTCGTAGCGAAGCTCTTCCAACTTAGGTAAGTACCTAATACCTGCTATGTATACGTTTAAATTACAGTGCTACGTTACGAATATGTTAGGATTTATCGTATATTATATACTTAGAAAATAATGATAGTGACTTAGAAATTTTTTACCTTCCTACCATTGTAATATAACACAACACGAACATAATCAGAATGTGAACTCATTTTTAAATGGAATAAGAAATAAAATAAAAATACTAAATTAAAGATAACAATTGTGTATGTAAAATGCAAGAATTGATGATAGAGAAGAGATGTAAAGAGTGCATAGAGTGGTAAAGAATTATATAGAATTTTTTGACTCATTCACGCCCCAGGGGCATCAGGGTCGCATGTGTCACGCCATGTGACGCCTCATTTAGGCGTCACCCATGTGGGTGTCACGCCTAAATGGGACGTCACATGTGATGCCCAATTTGGACGTGACATTGTGCAATAGATCCCTAATTTTTTTAAAAAGTGTAATAAATGCATAATTTTTTAATTAAAAAATATTATATTAATTTTTTTGCCTACATTAACATGACATGAATACAATACCAAAAATTTGTATTCAAATTTGTATCGTGTTTAAGTTGGCGAAAATTGAGACAAAAAAATTAGTGTTTTGTTGTGTGTCAACTTATAAATCTGAAATTAACTTGTATTAATCTTTTTACATGTTATTCATATTGTGTCACTTCGTAAACAACTTATGTGTCAACTCACATAATAAATAACACACTTTGAAGTTGACAAATTATTTATATCATGACATGTTGTATTAACCCACAAAATATCATGTCATGTCAACACGAACTATCATCCTTAGCTCTTTTAGCTCTTTTATCTTAAATTTTACTCAGTAGTGTCTTTCACTTTTTTTATCAGTTAGCATCATACATAATAATTAAGATTGTAAATATTATTATTGTTATAAAAGGTAATATTACATTTATTTAATAAAATAATTAATACCATAAATACGATTTTTAAAATCCTTACAAATTAAAATATTATATTGTTACAAAAAAATTATATTAAATAACAATAATGGCAATTTGATAATTTATATAGCTCTTTTTGTCTTGGGCTCTTGGCAAAAAATTCAAATATCTAATATCATTTATTGAAAATTGGGAATTCTTCTATAATCATCTTAATCTTTCACAAATAACCCTATCATGTCATTCAAATAATCATGAATTATATGCAAACATGCTCTTTGGAAGAAAAAAAATGTGTGTCGTACTGTCGGACATATGTCAGACACCGACATAGTTTGACACATGTCTGACTTGCGGTAAATATTTTTCGATTTTTTTTATATCTAACTTTTATTTTATTTTATCTTTTAAACTAAACATGAAAAATTAATTTATAAATTAAACATTTTCTGTTATAAAATTTGACCTGAAAATTAACAAGGCGTAAAAAATTATTTTTTCTTTATATTTATTTATGAAATTTGAATATTTAATTGATTATATGACTTATTATAAGCTGCTATATGTATGGTAGTTAAAATCGGGATTTTATCTAAATCAGAAGGAGGATAAAAAATCGTAAAACGTAAAATCCTAACGTAAGAAAAATTGTAAAATCGTAAAAGCGTTTGGAATTTTGATACAATCGTTTTGATTGAAAAAAATCGTAAAATCGTAAAATCTAAGATTTAAATCGGAATTTTAAATACCATGGCTATATGTATTAAATGTAAACTATATTATAAAAATTAAAAATATTATTTAATATCAAAATATGTCATAATGTGTCAAAATCTAATATTTTTTAGAATTAACGTGTCGGCATGTCGTGTCGTATCTCGTCTCCTGTGTCGGTGTCGGTATAATATAGCATGATATTACTCACCAACTTTAATGTTTTTAAATTTTATAATAATTCCGAAAATTGCTTTTACAGTTTAGGTTAATACTATTTAACTAAATGAATTTACTGTTAATTTTTAAAAATAATAGCACCATTTACTATATTAATTATCAGCATTATTATTATTATTATTATTATTATTATTATTATTATTATTATTATACATAAAGTAAGAAAAATATGTGGGAGAAATATAAATTTGGAATATACAATCATGTGACATGATCCCAAGGAACTCACTAATTAGACTAGCGAAATCGACCTCTTACATGACGTAACGAATTCCACGTATGTGTAACGCCTGGATAACTCGCTACCGAAAATAAATATGTTTTAAGTTTCCATTAAATGGATAATTTTATTTGAAACTTGGATCCACATGGTAGTTTTGTCTAGACAAGTTAGAATTTTTTTTATTTTTTTTATTTCTACAGAATTGTTGATTTGTGAATGGTGAGTGGCTATATTACTTTATTCCATTCAACGATCAAAAGAATGTTAAATTTTATCAAAATTTGGACTTTTATTTTTACTATATAACATTTCTCTACAAAAAATAATTTGAGTATATATAGATCAATGACTTAGGTGATTGGCTTACAGTAATACAATAAAAGAAAAGAAAAAAAAGCTTAACTGCCCGATTAATCTTAAATGTGTTTCTATGCTTAAAAGTTTTTCAGATTCATAAGCATTCTAAAATTTCCGAACAAGAAGAAGCATGTAGTACGTTCATTATGAAATACCATATCATCGGCCGAAAGGCACATGAAATTAAGAAAAGAGAAAAAAGAAAACAGATGAAAAAACACACAATTTATTTCCACCTTTCAAATATATTAACAGATATTTCACATTAGAAGACTTTGCTCAGTTGTTTGTTTCCTCTGCTGGTACACGATTTAACATTATAACCATTTTACCCTTTTCTTTTTGGTGGTGGGCTTTAGACTAGTCAAGTAATTGAACTTTACACTTTTGCTTTATAAAATCAACATCCATTATTACAGGTACACCTTCTTCTCCTTCTTTTGCAGGGTTATTACTCATTACCAAGTGAAAAATAGATCTTGGATGTAGGCAGACACAAATAAGAGGTGGAAGCTTCTTTACCTTCAATTTCTCCTTTTCAGATTGTTCACCCTACAAAGTTTATCCGACTATATGCAAGAACAGCAATATATGACCATAACAAAAAAGTTACAAGAAAAAGATGAGTTTTCTCTAATTAAAACAACAATAAAATTGAGATTTGGATTTTAATTTTAATTTTAATTTTAATTTTTTTCTGTTGAAACTTCCAACCAGAACATGCAAGATCTTCTGGGATACATAGTCAGATTTTTCTTTTCCCTTTTTGGATATTAGCATCCAAATCATTTAGGAGTTGATCCCCAACTTACGTGCTCCTTTTATGACATGAATCAGGAAAATTTAGTTGCATCACACATTCACCCTCCCTAATTATTTCACATGGCTGACCCGAAGTAGTTGGCATGCACGATGCATGACACACAATTGCACCCTTAAGATGTGATAATAAGCGGAATCATTGCATTAATATAGAACTTTCAGTGCCTGATACTACGCCAATATTCGATTGAGACATATACTTGAAATTACTTACCCTTTCCCACTAATTTTGGAACATATCAGTCTTCAGTTTCTTTGTCCTCTTTTTAATGCCAGTCTTCTTTATGTTTTTCAAAGTTTTAATTTTTTTACTAATTGAAAAATTAAAGTTTAAGGAGTTTTAAGAATGTTTAATTAAGTAAAAAACCAAGGTCAAGTAATATGGCCAAAAACCAAAAGAAATGCAAGTCAAATTCAGTTACCCACCCTACACTAACTTCATGTGCAATGGAATTGAGAGAGGCCTAAGGGACGCATGCACTTTCACAAAAGGCCACTGAATAAGCGCGTTCTTCAGGATCATTAGTCATTTCTGTAAAAGGGATAGGTGTGTAATCCATAATCTAGACAAAGCATAGAGGGCACATGGTGTGTGTACCAAATGCCATTATTTTCAATTTTTCATGTCCCACCAACTCCACAATCCTCGCATAATTACTCGGCCAAGCTTTCCCTCTCTTGGTCTCGTTTCCATACTACCCTTGTGCACTAGTACTCATCGAAGCTTCAACTTTTTGAGAACACCATCATCTGCCCCACCATTTAAGACCATACTTACTTAAGTCCCAATTAACTATAATCTTCCTCGGGATTTTTTTTGGCAGGGTTATGGGTTTATGAATATGATTACTTTGTTCCCAAAAGGCTAAAATGTTAAAAGTTAATTTTGGCACATATTTATATTAATAGGTCAAGTTTGCGGTGCAATTTGCGCTACTGTAACAATCAATGTGACTAACAATCAATAGGTAATTTTTGGTATAATCCATGGTACAAAAAAGAGAGAGAGACTAATATGCCACTTGCTGTTTGCATTCATGCAATGGCTGCATCACAGTCCATGATTGTACTAACAATCAATCAAGGGTTTGCTTAGAAGAAACGAAATATGATGCGGTTAATTAATTATTTAGCTATATTTGAATAAGGTTAACGACAAAACTGGGTTAAATAACAAGGCTCTTTTGTAAAACAAGATTTATAATTTATAATGGTGTTGCTTTGCATAAAGAAATAAGCACTGTCCTCACTCCTCAGTCCTGCCTAGAGTTATATAATATGAGTAATAAAAAAATAATGGGAAAAATACTTCTGCTACGGTTAGAGAAATCTCTTTTTCTATTGTCTCATTTCGATGTTCATGTCAATTATTATTATTATTTTTTTTTCAAGATGAATCCCATCTCTTTCTTTCTCGGCATTAAAGTTTAAACTTCTGCAAATTCAAAAAATAAATAAGGGCTTATAGAAAAATTGAGGAAGGATTTGTTTACAATTTTTTTTTTTCAAATTACTTTAAGTATAACTGGTCATGAACTCTTGATTGAAGTATGACCGGTCATACTTAGTGTAGTTTGTAAACAAAAAATTTGTAAATATAACCTTCTCCAGACAAAATAGAGCTTTGGTTTTCTCTTTATTTTTTTTTCTTAACCTTGTTAGAGAATAATATAAATCATTAAAAAGGCCTCACCCAACACTTTAAGATTTTGGGTTGAAGTGGTTCTTTATATGCTATGAGATTCAGTGACCATAACATCACGAGTTCGATCCTCACCGCCCTCCACTAGTGGAATTAAATAAGCATAAGGTAAATAAAAAATTGGGCCTATGCAATAATCCACGCTTCAAGTCCAAAGGGCTCTTGCGTGAAAGGGGTGTGTTAGAAAATAATATAAACTATTAAAAGACCTTCACCCAACACCTTAAAGGCCTGTTTGGTGTGATGTATAAGGCCTGATAATATAAACTTATATTATACATTATGACATTTTTAGTTGTTTGGTGTGACCATCGTATAGTATAAACTTATACAGCAGGATCCCTTTATACATCAAAATGATGTATAACTTAATCAGGCCTAGGAGGGTAGGATTAGGCCTGCTAATATATTATTTTAATATTAGTATATTAAAATAAAAAATAATTTTTCAACATATAATTTTTTAAAATATTGGAGATTTTTATTTTTATAAAAATCAATATACTTTTTGTACACACTGATCAACATATTTTTATAAAAAAATAATATATCATCTGATATATTTGGAAGAATTATGTAAATTCATTATTAAAATGTATTTTTTACAAAAATATTTATTTTTAACCTATCTAGTATTATATAGTGTATTACCAAACATTAGATGATATTATCTTATATAATATATTATCTTGTACAATATCAGGTCAAACGCTAGATAGTATTAAAATTTAATCAGGTCTTATACAATCATGTCTTATATTATCAGGCCTTATCCTATACTATACCAAATATGCCTTAAGATTCTTGGGTTGAAGTGATTCTTTACAAATATGATGAACAAGATAATTACCAATTTAAGGGTGCTACCCACACATAAATATTTGGCCAAGGAAACCCTATAATTCAAGAAAATAAAGTATCTCAAGATTCATAGGCCTAATCAACCTAAATTAAGATTTGGCCGATCAAATCTTATAATTTTAAGAATTAAAATCAGAAACTTTTAAGAAAAAAAATAAAATCTTTTAAAATTGATTGATTTATGAACCTAACCAACCTAAATTACAAAACAAATAAGAAGAATAAATACTGAATAAGTCAGAATTATTATGTTGGATATTTCAATCAACTAAAGTTGATCTTTTGTGGGGACCACAATCATCACAAATCCCTCCTTCCATTTGCACCTAATGAGTGGAAAAATTGAGGAGGAGGAAGGAAAGGTTCCTCCTCTATATAAACACACTTGGACAATCACAGTCACTCATGTACACACAGTTCAGACCATCTTCCTCTCTTTCACTGTCATCATTCATCAATGGCTCCCATCTCAAAATTCATCCCTTTCTTATTCTTAACAACCCTTTTGTTGTCTCTGCAAATCAATGCCAGAGACAGCCAGTTCTTCAGCAAAGTCTCCCATGTCAACAACAACTTCAAAGAGACAGAGGTTCCCAAAAATGAAGAACCACTAAAGAAGCCAGAGCAACAGCCAGTCTTTATCCCAGAGACTGAAAACAGCTATGGCCTTTATGGCCATGAGTCTGGTCAGAATCCTCCCACCACCACCACAACCCCCACCCCCACCCCCACCACTTACCAGCCATACAAAACCGAGACTGAGGAGAAATTCAACAAGTACCCCAACAAAAATTACTACAACTACAACAAAGATTTCTATAGAACCAACCAAAATGAAATGAGTGACACAAGACTCGCTGGCACTCCTTCCAGCAATAACAACTACTTCTACAACAACAAGGATGCTTTTGGTGATAAGCAAAATCAATTGAGTGACACAAAGTACACAGAAGGAGGATACAATTCCATGGAAAATCAGAACAAGAAGAAGAAATATTACTACAACAACAACGCTGCCAACGACAAGAACTCCTTCCAAAACAATGCTGTCAATAACAAATACTATGGTGAGAGACAAGGAATAAGTGATACGAGGTTTATGGAAGGTGGAAAGTACTTTTATGACGTTGACTCTGAGAAGTACAACCCAACACTCTATGGTGGCTCATCCAGGGGAGTGAACTCTGAGAATATGGTCAACAACAGGGGTTACTTTGGCAACAACAATGTAAACTCTTACGAGAAAAAGAACTCCATGGAAGGTTACCAGAACCAGGAGGAGTTTGAAGATGTCCAAGAAGACTTCGAACCTTGAGCTTGTATCACCAACAGAGATCAATTTGCTTATGAGTATTGACTTTGGGTGTTCGCTGTTTTGCTGTTCTTTACATTAAAAAATCACAAAAAAAGAGTTGAAGGGTAGGATAATTTATGAAGGGGTTTTACATAGTGGTAATGTTATTAAATCTTGCTTCTTGAATTGCACAGTCTATGTAATGATTTGGAAATACGGCATGGAGTATGAGAGCATGTCTAGTTTTTCTATAATGTTAAGTAATCTTGTTTGTTTCTCCGTTACTTTTTTTACCCAAAAAAAATATAAATAAAATTCTTCATGTTTGTTTTTCTCTTTCAAACCAGCGCAATATAAGGATTATGGAGAAAGGAAAAGGGAAACACAGGCAAAAAGCAATCATACGGTACTAGTTTTACTTTTAAAATTTGGGTGGTCCATCTTGCTTTACCCACCAACCCAGTTGATAATAGATACCATTTTCGAACACAGAGGGAACAGTACTACACTGTTGAAGTTGAGTGGTAAACTTCTTTTTGTGATACCTTCTCTTTTGCACAATACTGGACAAAAATGGAATCAATGATGAACAAGGAAAAACACATAGTAATTCAGACTGATAACTTTGTTGGAAAATTAAAGTGTGAAAGTAGCAGTGAAGTCACACATTCTTTAAACATGAATCAAGTGAGAAGTGAAGATGATACAAATGCAAAAAACTTGTAAATCTACAGCTTTAAAATTTTAGATTGAGAAATGGTGTCCGCTCATTTATTATGATTTATTATTTGACCTATTGATGAAGGCACCCTTTGTAAAAGATTTTGGTTCTCCCATAACATTCACAACAAAATTAGTTTCAAAATGCCAGAAAAAAAAAAAAAAAATTAGTTTCAAAATGTTCATTGGCCCATTAATAAAAGCATTCTTTCTAAAGGGTTTTGCTCCCCTAACATTCACAACAAAATTACCCTCCTTTATCTCTTGATAAGACCATCTGTTCCAGTATGTTCATTCATCAAACGTCTATGATATTGGTTATAATTTGCAGAAAATAAATAAATAACTATTAATGAAAAAGAAAAGAGTAAATAATAAAATTCCCAGGTCTTCTTCTGTTAACTCCTCAACGATAGTAAATGGCAGAGAAGTATATTACCCTTTGCCACTCTCTTTTAGTCATAATTATTGACCAATTTCTGTTTTTAAGGATGTAGGTCTTCAAACTTGGCTTTCCAGGATGTGCATAACATCTAAATGATCAGGAGAAGGATCAAGACTGTAAAGAATCAAGGACGTTTTTAAGAAACGTCACAAGAGAAAATGGAGCAACACGTCCCCTCACACAAGAGCCCATTGGGCTTGAAGAATGGACAATGCAACAGGCCCTATATCACATAAAGAGCTCAAAAGGTGGGAGTGCTCAAGACCTTATAAATTTCACATTAGTTGCTCATACAACAACCAATATGGGACTATATATGTCAACAAAGACCAATCACTTATTCATTGGTTATTGACCAATTTCTGTTTTTAAGGATGTAGGTCTTCAAACTTGGCTTTCCAGGATGTGCATATAACATCTAAATGATTAAGAGAAGGATCAAGACCAATCAATTATTCATTGGTTCGGTTAGCAACTGAAATATAATATAAAATTATTAATGTAATTTTCATTTAAGAGTTTACATTTTTGTGACCATTTTATATAATGAAGTGGTCACAAATTTAGAACAAATAATATAAAATTATTAATTTAATTTTTGCCTAACTGTTTAAGTTTTTAGATTAAAAATTATTGTTTAGATCAACAGGGGTGGCATGAAAAAATACCTAAATTGTTCAAGCAAATAGATCACGCATTCTTTCCTCCGTGATTGACGATGTTTTACACACAAAAAAATAAAATAAAAAAAATCTCTGTTTGTTTGCACTTGCACTTTATTTATTATGCTCTGTGCGGCCACGATTTTAAAATTTAAAACTTGGGCGTAGAAAAACTACTGCATTTGGCTCTTGCATCGCGTGGACTTAGCTATGTACAAGTCAAATAATTTCATGTTAACAAGTGCTAGTAGCATCTACCTTTACTCATCGAAATAAGCATCTCTAGGGATAGCAATTAGCAAACAACAATAGAGTCAATTTGTCTTTACTTGTGTACCTAACTTCTTTGTATGTTGCTAATGACATTAACCAGTTCAATTGAGGAGGGACGACACAGAAAGGGAAAGAAGGCAGTTGAAAATGTTAGGTTTAAGATGAATTGACTTGTAACCTAAAAGGCTAAAACACCTAACTCTTTCAGCAGTTGAATTTGAGACACATGAGGGGGCACCGAATGCCTTGGAATGGCCGTAGAAGCTTGACAATTCAGGGTTCATTTAGATAAATTATAAATATATATAATTTTTTTAATTGTTTTTAAATTACCTTTTTAACATTACAGAAAAAATTTCATTAGATATCATAAAAAAGACTAATCTAATTATCTTAAAATATTTAGTTATAATTTTGGGGAAAAAATTATTTTCTTAATTAAAAAAAAACCATAAAATCGGATAGATTATGAGTATGGAACCGCAATATTTTTTTTTATTTTTTTTTATTTTTTATTTAGTATAACTTGGGGTATGACGCTTTGGGCTAGCTCCTCATTTGAACAACGGGTGCATTGAACTTCGCTATCTGGAGGAAGGATGAGACTGATCCCCATTCGAGGAGAGAGACACTTTCCTATGGTCCCCAAAAATTTTCCAAGAATTTGCTTGAGGCTGAGTTTGAACCCCTTGACTCAATCAAATCCTTGGGAGCTCAGTTGTCAACTGAGCTATTTGAAGGTTTATTTTTTTTAATAGATTACTCCCACATGCTTATTATCCCCACCATCACCAGATAAACTAACCAAGCTCACTTATCTATTCACGACTTCTCGTTACAGCAAAGAATATTTAGCAAAAACAATTTTTTTTAAAAAAAATTACTCCACCTGTTCATTTATTAATTAACTAATTTGAGTGAGTCGGTAGAATTATAAGAACAATAAAACTCTCCTTATCAAGTTTTTAACACAATTACATACTCAAAACTCAAACTTGAAATCATTAATTAAACTGGAACAATCTCTTATTAGTTGATCCATGTGTCTTGTAGTAGATAACAACATTGCTACCCAAAATTTGCCTACAACTTAACCTTTCCTTTTCTATTAGTTTGCCTGTTGCTTCACAAAAAATATAGCCTTATGTATTGTTATAATTTTGTAGTTATTGTGTAATCAGAAACTTTGAAATAGACAAGGGAGGAATAACTCATTTTAAGAGGATGTCACATGATTTTTTTTCTCAGTATTTTTTTAAAAATAATGATATCTTCTTGGAGTTATGTCAACATTTTAAAATTTAATCTAAATTTTTTAAATTTAATATTTAATATTAAATTTAATGAAAATTGTTACACTGTCAAAAAAAAAATGATATCTTCTTGGAGTTATGTCAACATTTTAAAATTTAATCTAAATTTAGTAAATTTAATATTTAATATTAAATTTAATAAAAATTGTTACACTGTCTGATGTATTATTTTTTAGTGGACTAACGTAATAATTTCATAATACATAATAATTTCTCCATGATTTAAGCCATCGAAGAAATGTTAACTGATAAATGGTTATCACCATTCACCACAACCTAGGACCCTTTTGGGCTTCATTTTAACATTTTTTTTGAAGGGACAAGTTTGGTAATCAATGGTTGGGGTTGGGTATATAATGCCATATACTAATTGTTCTGCTCAGGTTATAATTATACTAATTGTTCTGCTCAGGTTATAATGTAGGACACGGCCCAGCTTTGTTCAATGCAATTATTATGAATATTGGGTCAAGCCCATTACTACATTAACACTTTACACCGAGTTGATCCACATAAATAAATTTTGAACAGACTATTATTGGGTTTTATCCATTGAGGTAATATTTTTTTAAGGGAAAAAGTGTGTCATTTTAAATGACACACCTTACATCCTTTTACTCTCACAAAGAGGAGGGATTCACATCTTTTAAAAAAAATTCTCCACTTTCTCTCTCATGATTTATCTCTTTTTCTCACTTAAAATGACACAACTTTGTATTCTTTAAAATGATACACAATTTTCCTTTTTTTAATAGATGCATGAGAAGTGCACTGGAATCAATATTATTATTTTTTTTTTATAACAGGAATCAAATTTTTAACATTTGCTATGCATTACAAAACTCACAAACCTTGATCGTATTTTTTAAAGACCGATTTGCTAAACAAAAAGGTTTTTCAAACCTTTTCATTTTAAATAAGGGTTTAGTGTATCTCCGGTCAATGGAGATAACTTATTTTCAGTAAACTCAAAACAAAGTCATTTTGGGATTGAAAAAATGAATTTTTATAATTCTAATTTATTCCGAGATTAGATTAGTCTTTATCATTTTAATTTTTTAACACCAAAATAACATCATTTTGAGCTTACTGAAGATAACTTCATCTTCGGTCACTGGAGAAATGTTTTTCCCTTTAAATAAAAGAGATAACTTTACAAATACCCCCTAATGTTTTTGATCTAGATAAAATACAAAAGGCCCACCAGGGGCTAAAATCCAAAGATTAAGGCCCAAAAACATAGGGCCCGAACAATGCGCGATATCTCCATCGCGCATAAAGAATCAGGGGATGCGATGGCTTCATCGCGCCTAAACCACCTTTAACATGACTTCAGAGTTAAGGAACTGATCAATAATACAAATGAGGAGCTACTGCGCCATAGAACCAATACACGAAGGACAACTCCAGCTTGCTATCACTCTACCAAGATAGCTTCACATATAGAGATAAGGCCAGAAAGGCACCAGCTGAACTTGCAGCCCATAAACAGCCAATCAAAAGACATACCGCCTACCAAATGCGGCATCAAATTTACTATATAAACAAAGGGTACATACCCAGGTATGATCATCTAATTCAGTAAGAATACAACATAATCCTAGCTTTGATACTGACTTGAGCGTCAGAGTGTCATTGCAGGTACCCACCCCAGTCGGAGTCATCGCGCCAAAGAAGAATCATATCAATCTCTCCATTAACAGTCATCAACAGCCCAAGAAGTAGATAAGCCAACCCAAAGTCTTCTCTCGTCAACCGTGTGTGATTAGGTCCGATACATATTGACATGCCCATATAGTATTAATCTGATCAGTTTCCATAACCTTTTTTTAATGAATAATATCTCTAACGTTTAAAA